CTACAGGATCAGACACTGCTGCTGACAACACCACACACCTCACAGTAAGGCACAGAGAAAGCTGGTTCTGAGAAGAAATGTTCTCCATGCCGACTTCTCTTCAGATGCCAGAAGATGCTATGTGGTCTACAGGAGTGAAAAAAAAGTTAGCAACGGTCTTACCAACCTGTGAATTATATAAACAAACAAACAACCACAAAAACCAAGCCCACCAAGAAGGTTGTGTCCCCTTCAACAGTCTGGTGGTAGGGGGTAACCAACAGCCCTAAGTTTTATCTGAGGCCCTTTCTGTGAGAGGGAACCCATGCCTGGCCCTGTCTGTAAGGTTAACAACTCATGCCTACTGAGTTGGAAACCCAAGAGGAAAAAATTGCTACTGCTGTTTAAATAAGACATAGCTTCAAAAGGCCTTTCAAGTACCCATTTTATAACCACAGTAGGGAGCAGAGAATTCTCCCCGCTGAATCACAGAAGCCTACCTTTTCACTGAATGGTGGTGAATGCAAGATACTAAGAATAAGTGAGAATCCAGCCCTCACCCCTGTAACACACTTATGCTACCAATACCACTGCTAATATTCAGGTAACTTTGTGGGCGAGAAGGTAGGAAGTATGTAAGAGTCAGGTGATCGTTCTTTAGGTATGCACATGTGTGAAACTGTGAAGGAGCAAATTTAACTACTAAAAAGATTTTAAAGAAACAAAGAGAGAGTGAAGGTTCTAACTGTCGGCAAAGTTCCAACGTTACAAGGCAAGTGCTGGTGATTGCAGCTGTGAGTTCTTGATAGCTGCCCTTAGAATAGGGAGAGAAAGTATCGGATCTCCACATGTCCAGCTCCAGAGACCAACCAACAATATCCCAGGCAACCCATCGCTACCCCGTCAAACAAGCCAAATGGGCTCTAACACTGTTAGTTTGCTTGGGCCACAGGTAGGAAATGTCAGAGTTAAAAGCATGCAAGTGCACTGGAGTCCTGTGCTAAGTCAGGTATTGAAACAGGAAAATAGATAGTTCTATATCTGATCAATTTTAAGGATACAAAAAGTCACTTAAAATGTCTCTTAAAATGCATATCACAAAGGAGCCTTAAATATCAAAATGTTACACATATGTCAGAAATCTCTGGCCCAAGATTTTAACAAAAACAACACAAATTAAAAATCAGGCCTGAGGGCTGAAGAGATGCCTCAGGAGTTCAGAGCTCTTACTGCTCTTGAAGAACTTGGTTTGAATCCCAGAACCCACGGGAGAGCTCACAGCCTGTGTTACTTCCAGTGGCCCTCTCTGTCTTCTGCAGACACCAGGCACACGCATGATGCACACATATATGCAGGAGAAAATAATCATGCACGTAAAATAATAAAACAAGTAAAGCTATTAAAAATACAAACTGTTCTAGACTTGGCCACGGATTTCTAGCACATATGTTCCCTCTAGAATACTTAACATTGTAATATGGATTTATTTTCTGTCCAAATTTTAAAACTAAATTTTTTGTTGGTCTGTTAAGTATTTTTAGAAGCCTATTCTGTATGTGATTTACACAGAGGAGAGAGGACCTAAAAAATGAGGTTTATTACATCAAGTTGAGAACAAGCAAAGAAGGAGGGTGTTGAGAGGTGAATATGAAAAAAGATGTTTATATATGTTATATATGTATATATATATATATAAATGTCATAATAAACCCATGATTTTGAACACTAATTTTAAAATGGCAAAAGAAACGTGTTCACTGGGTAGAGACACTCAGCCAAATGCCAGCCAGAAGCTGAAACCCAGTGCTCAAACCTCATGCTGCCGATGCAGCCACCAGAGGGCACCATTCACAATTGTCTAAAGGCACCAAAGAGGAGGCTCACAAATGCTTGAGGGAAAAAACAAAAAAACAAAACAAAACAAAAAAACCCAAAAACCTGGTGAATAAACCCAAACTTTTCATGTCCACCTTCTATCAGGGATGGCGAGTTGACATATGGACCTCGTGATTAGAATATTTGTCAAGTCAGTAAAGCAATGTCAGGAAAGGAAGATGGATTGTCTTGGTATTTGAGAGTATTTGTGTCATTTCAGTAGAAATGATTTAGGAGCACCATCCACACTGTATCCCACTTCATTCCGTAAGATATGAGAAGTGCTTTGGAAGTCAATCTGGCACTTTCTCAGACAATTAGGAGTAGTGCTTCCTCAAGACCCAGCTATACCAGTGCTAGGTATATACCCAAAATTTGCTCAAGTACACAACAAGGACATTTGCTCAACCATGTTTGTAGCAGTTTTATTTATAAAAGCCAGAACCTGGAAACAACCCAGATGTCCATCAACAGAGGAATGGATACAGAAATTGTGGTATTTTTACACAATGGAATACTACTCGGCAATCAAAAACGAGGAAATCATGAAATTTGCAGGCAAATGGTAGGATCTAGAAAAGATCATTTTGAGTGAAGTATCCCAGAAGGAGAAAGACAAACATGGCATACACTCGTTTATATAGACCTATAAGATATAATAAACATAATAAAATCTATACACGTAAAGAAGGTAAACAAGAAAGAGGACACAAGGTAAGATGATCAATCCTCACTTAGAAAGACAAATGGGAGGTGCATTGGACTTACGACAGGAGCCTACCACAGAAGGCATCTGAAAGACTCTACCTAACAGTGTTTCAAAGCAGATACTAAGACTCATAACCAAACCTTCGGCAGAGTGCAGGGAATCATATGAAAGAAGGGGGAGTTAGTATGATGGGGAAAGGATAGGAGCTCCACAGAGACCAAATATATCTGGGCACAGGGTCTTTTCTGAGACTGACACTCCCCCAAGGACCATATATGGATATAACCTAGAACCTCTGCTCAGATGTAGCCCGTGGTAGCTCAGTAACCAATTGGTTTCCCATAGTAAGGGGAACAGGGACTGTTTCTGACAGGAACTCAATGGCAGGCTCTTTGACCTCCCTACCCCCCAAGGGAGGAGCAGTCCTGCTAGGCCACAGAGGAGGACTTCGCAGCCAGTCCTGAAGATACCTGATAAAACAGGGTCAGATGAAAGGGGAGGAGGTTCCCCCTATCAGTGGACTTGGAAAGGGGCAGGGAGGAGATGAGGGAGGGAGAGTGGGATTGGGAGGGAATAAGGGAACGGGACAGCTGGGATACAGAGTTAATAAAATGTAACTAATAATAAAAAATTAAATTAAATTAAAAAAAAGAATTTAAGAAAGAAAAAAAATATATGAGAAGTACTACTGAAGGAGCCTGAGAATATTTTTAAATAGCTCTACAGGACGATGGAAAAGGAAAACTTCTAGTACCCCTTGCTTAATGGTTTTGTCCCAAAAGAGTTTTAGTTTGCTAGAAATAAAACAGCAAGACAGTGCACAGGTCAAGTTTGACAAACTGTCACTCCATCACCTTGTCAGACTCTTAAGAAATGTTTGTTCATACCAATGTATCAAGTCTTAATTTCATGGATACATAAGTGTTTCCCCAGTTTAAAGCTAGGAAACTACAAACCTCTAACAGCAGCCTGTCTTTCTCTGTATAGGTGGTAGACAGTTTACATAAATAATACCTTCTCCATGTTTATAGCAGCTTTATTTGTAATAGCCAGAACCTGGAAACAACCCAGATGTCCATCAGCGGAGGAATGGGTACAGAAATTGTGGTACATTTACACAATGGAATACTACTCAGCAATCAAAAAGGAGGAAAGCATGAAATTTGCAGGCAAATGGTGGAATCTAGAAAAGATCATCCTGAGTGAAATATCCCAGAAGGAGAAAGACAAACACGGTATATACTCACTTATATAGACCTATAAGATGTGATAAACATAATGAAATCTGTACACCTAAAAAAGATAATCAAGAGAGCGTACATGGGGTAAGATGATCAATCCTCGTTTAGAAAGACAGATGGGATGTGCATTGAACGTCTGACAGGAGTCTATTGAGCGCATTTGAAAGACTCTAACTAGCAGTGTTTTCAAAGCAAAGACTCATGACCAAAGCTTTGGCAGAGTACAGGGAATCATAAGAAAGAAGGGGAGTTAGTCTGATGGGGAAAGGATAGGACCTCCACAAGGACTAAATTTATCTGGGCACAGGGTCTTTTCTGAGACTGACATTCAACCAAGGACCATGTATGGATATAACCTAGAACCTCTGCTCAGATGTAGCCTGTGGTAGCTCAGTAACCAATTGGTTCCCATAGTGAGGGGAACAAGGACTATTTCTAACAGGAACTCAATGACTGGCTCTTTGGCCTCCCCACCCCCCAAGGGAGGAGCAGTCCTGTTAGGCCACAGAGGAGAGCTTTGCAGCCAGTCCTGAAGATACCTGATAAAACAGGATCAGATGAATGGGGAGGAGGTTCCCCCTATCAGTGGACTTGGCAAGGGGCACAGTGGAGAGGAGGGAGGGAGGGAGGGACTGGGAGGGAATGAGGGATTGGGACACGGCTGGGATACAGAGTTAATAAAATGTAACTGATAAGAAAAAAATAAAATTAAAAAAAATAAAATAAAATTACAAGCAAAAAATAATAATAATACCTTCTCATAATGAAATACTTCAGAAGATATCTATAGTGTTTTCTTTCTATCAATGAGGATACTGAGGTCTAGAGACTTAAAACTCTTACCTCACTTCATGTTGCTAGTAAATTTTATACTCAGACTCAAACAGATGATCTTGATTTAAATGTGAGCTCTTTGAAACTTCACTGAACCATTCAGGAAGCCATCTACTTAATAGCTAAAATGTCATGTTAGCTGATCAACATCTTGGTAAAATGTTGGTAATACAAATATAATGTAATACTTTGAATCAAACACAACTATTCATGCATCTTGCTATGGTTTCTTAGAGAATAAACTCACTATGCTGATAAAAGTGTGAAGGATATAACCACAAAATATCCAATGATTTTGTATATCTCCTGACTGAAGTGTGCATTCTAGGAAATCAGATGAGAGGCACAGAAGGGCAGCTCACCTGGTCCAGTAACTTGTGCCCGTTGAGGTGAGCCTGCAGCACTGCATCGTTAACAAGCAAGTGGAAGTTCAGGAGCACGTGCTCAACGTCGTAGGTTCCATGCATCGCCTCTGACAGCTCTTCCAGGGATCGAATGTAAGCGTGCCAGTGTGGATTAAGCTCTGTCATGTGGGCCAGGCAGCCCCTGACGACATTGAGGCAGTACCCCATGCAGGGCTTACTGAGCATCAGGCTCTGGCAATGAGAGCAGTATTGCATCCTCAGGAGGGCCCTGTTACACTCCTTGGAGAAGTGGATATGGTCTGTCGTGTTGATGACTTCAATGCCGAGATTCAGAGCCTGCAGGAATGTGCGGCTGGGTAGCAGGGATCTCCCCATCTGCCCCATAACTCTTTTGGGAATGTTGCCAAATGGACTAACATCCTGGCGGGCCATTCGGATGCATTCTGAGTATTGCAGCGAACTGTCAGTCGCACCAGGGTTTATGAGATGGTTGTAGACCAGAGGAAAAAGACTGTCAAAAAATCTGTTTACAAATTCTTCAGGATTAACATCTGCACCAAATAAGTAAAGCCCCACATCCGTGAAAAACTCCTGAATGGAAGCAGCAGCCTCCAAGGCCATGTTCCGGTAGGTGTTGCAGAAAAGGATACTGGTATAGTTCTCTGCTTGTCTGATGAGGGTTTCCAGGGTCTCTGTAACACAGTGAAGGCAAAGGAGAAATCTTAGTGCTCATGCCAAGCCATCTGTGTGTCTGGTAAAGGCAACATGTGAGCATAGTATATCATAACTAGCCCAAGGCAAACCGTGGCGTGCAGTCTACCAAACCGGACCTTCCAAGGAAATGGTCCCGTGATAATGTCAGTACATACCATATTCCTAGTGTCTAAGTTGGCTAAAGGGGCAGGAACCAAAAGTCATACTAAAGGGTAGTTTCTAACTAATGTTTATTGCATAGTATTCAGAACCTGCTGATAAGAAGTGGGCTTTGTTTCGCATCCTGGGGTCAATATTTATAAACATGACAGAATTTAATAATTGATTTCCTGACTACTCTATTGTAGTTTTCAACCTTCCTTTTATTTTCAAAATGAATGTTTATAGATTTTATAGCTACCTCTAAGGCAGGCCAGATCCCAAAAGCACAGCCTGATCATCCAAAGACCTTTTAATATTTCCAAAATTAAACACTACACCATGCCACGTACTCCTTGTAAATTGGCATGTGCTGTTAGGAAGTGAGAAATATAAGTGATGTTACCTGAGAACAGTAATTTGTGACCATCTTATCAATTTAACTTTGTTGTTTTTAATCTTTTCTTCAAAAGCTGGCTGTGGGATACTTTGTTTCTTACCTAGGTAGGCGATGCCACAGAACCAGCCAACCAAGTCTAATGTATAAACAAAGAAAGCGAGAATAAGCTAAATGGAAGGGATTGGAGTAATCATGGAGATAAATGAAATTCCAAACCCTGGCTATTAAAGAGCAGTAAATCACCATGATCATTCTTGTAATTACATTTTATAATTAGACTAATTAATGGCACTTGACTATATCAATATATAATTATATAATATATTCAATAAAATTATCTCCCATAGCAATAACCTCACAGTTATTTCTTATTAGGTTATAAAAGACCACAGCCATGATCCACTAATCAAATCACCGCTTGATTATCTAATAAGAATATAGAGAAAAAGTAAAAGTGAAATAATGAAAAGCAAATATATAGGGAGTGACTACTATGCAGGCAGAATCATGGCATGACTGTGCGAGAGTGCGTTCTCAGAAAAGGAAGAATGCAGTAAGGTGCATGCTCAAGTTCTCTGAGACTGATTGCTATTGCATCCCAGTCCTCCGTGTGAAATACCAGGGTGCCTCCACCGTGCAATCAAAGGTAACCGGTAACCGCTTTGAAAGACGGCTGTGTCTCTGAGTTTCATCAAACAGAGCACTACAAAGTCCAGATTGTTAATGGAGTAGGACTCATGTATTCATATGCTGTTCAAGTATATTCTAGCAACTTGGTGAATGTGGGAGAGAATGAAAATGAGTTGGGAGCCACCATTAACATCAGAATTCCCCAGTGCCTGCCACTGGTCTCTATGAAGACAAATGCAGTCTGCCAGACCACTTAATAGATGTGTGTTAGTCCAGCAATCTGTATTTAACATACAGCTCTGGTGAGTCACACATGCCAGACTTAGAAATACAGCAACAGCAAACAACCAACACACTCTCTCTGCTCCTAGAGGGGGTCAGCAAGTCTTCCCAAAGGACAGCCCAACCCTACAGATGCATCTTAACCAGGACACTGCTTTCCCAGATCCACAGGAGTGACTGAAAGCCACAACGAACTTGGCCTGAACTAGCATTAAGCTTACAAACTTGCCCCTTCCTCCATATTATTCCTCCACTTTTCTTGGGTGCTTTTGTGGAAATTAATTATGACAGGTCACAAGCAATTATATTTACCATTAATATTTAAAGAGCAATAGCTGCAAGTTAATTAACTTTTAAGATAAATGAAAATAGCTTAAAAGACACCTCCATCTCACATGCATTCTTATGTACTTTCCACATAGGGTTTTTAAGAGATGCTATGGATGCCATCAGGTAACTGATGACAGTTATATTACTCACAGTTGAATGACATTTGGACACTGCTGATCTTGACAAAAAATGCCCTGCCCTATTTTTTGACAATTTCAAATGATAAGCAAGTATGTGAATTTTTAATACACAAAAGTAAAATCTAAAATGTTTCTTTACAAATTCTAACGTCATACATCCATAGCATAGTGACTTAGAATGTATAAAGTTTACCAGTCCGTATCCATAAGTATATATTTTGCATATTAACTTACTTTGTGAACACACATTAAAGAAAATATAAGAGTGAGTGCATTTCATCCAAATATTTTTTACTGATTTAACTCTATATTATTGACAATAAATCAAGTTTGATTACAATTTGAGTGTATAATTAAAAATGAATTTATGAACTAAGTATATGCCCTTATTAGATTTTACTTTAGGCTGGTTTTCCTTTGATTTGATTACTATTTTTTGAATGTCTAAACAAAATGGAATTTTGAAATTGGCTTTTGTTGTTGTTAGTTTTTCACAATGTTAGTAATGAATCACAACATAGGGATTTATTTTCCTTTCAGTTTGTACTACATCAATATTTAAAGCATTTCTAATGCTAGGAATAAGCACATTTTGTGATTTTAGCCTAGCCCTATGCATTTTAACCTATAAAAATACATATAAAATGAAAAGGCTCAGCTGACCATGCTGGTACTTATAGTCCCAGTAACCAAGGTCTCAGAGGTCATGAGTTTGAAGTTGGTCTTGTCTAAATGGCAAGCACCAGGCCACCATGAGTTATACAGAAGACCCTGTCTCAAAATACAAGCAACTTAGAAAGTAATCCATTACTTTATTTTGGCAATATTTTTAAAAGATGGACAAACAGAAGCTGAGGTTATAAAATTAGTTTTATATGTTAACTTTGAATCTACAGAGTTACAATTTTTATCAATAGGAGTAAACACTTTCCTCTTTAGAACTGACACTGGTATTAGCAATAATTTTAACTGTAAAAGTAATTAACATGTAACAAAGCATTTGCTGCAAAAAGATTTCTCACATAGCATCAGTGTGAGCAGAAGGACAGATGCTAAGTAATTTGTTTAGTGACTTAATTGTCAAGAATAAGATATATGTTGTACTAAAATGTTTTATTACATGTAAAAAATTGTCCACATCAATGCCATGAAAGCAGTACCTTTTCACCCTGTTGCTATATATTGTAATGATCCATAAAAACAAATATTTGCCCACATTTGCTTAAGAAGCTGCCCCAAATCCATTGTCTCTTTGTGTATACATTAAATATTTCAATAAGCATCTCCTTCCATAGTTATCAAATAAAATCTACGAAGAAAAATCGTGTCTTGCTTCCTTTATAGTGTGGAGTAATAGAAAGAAGAAAAGGCTGCAATCTAACTATAATTTGATTAAAATTATAATTCCTTCTAGCTTTATAGGAAAATTCGTTTATCTAGACATAAAACCATTGAGTAAAATCTCACAAAGAAGTGTATTTGGATGTCTGAAGTTTATGTACACTTATTTCAATTATCAGCATTAGCATTCTGTAATAACTGCATGGTAAAACTCAAGCATAGACAATTTGCTTCAGGTTTCCAAGTGCCCAGGCCCATCAAACGATTACCAACATGTAAATCAAGAATGTAAAATCAAATAAAATAATGAAGGTAAACTCAAGTCATAGTGATATAAAATTAAACTTAACAAACTGAAATGTCAGTAAAGACTCATGTGAGGGACTTTTGGCAGCAGAAGAAATTTAATCTTCATGGTACTTTAATTATTTTAAATATGAATTGACTCCATAGGCAATAATCATGAAACAATAGTTTTAACAAATTCTCCAGCATAATTTCTGGGTCTTAATACATTTTACGTTTTTAAGTCTATGAACACATTAAAACACAAAATATGAAGTGTTATTTCAGATGTCCCCAGGTGGAGTAACAAGACAGATAAAAGGATATAAAACCTTATCAGCCATGGACAATCAGTTGATGCGTAGCATCTATATTTAGGTTGAAGATGTATTTCCACAGTGACTTTACATTTTTGCACATCAGAGTTCGCTAGTCACAGGTTTTGTAACTACAGCAAAGCTTTCTTTACTGCTCAGTTACTTCCAATCTACTTTGCCTGATGCTCTGTACACTACTCACCACACTCTACAGAGATAAACAGGTGAACAGAATTTAAGAATAATTTCTCACGAGTTTATCATGCATATAAGTAAGCTAAATTTTAACTCTATCTCAACTTTTAGAAAACACTTTCCAGTGATTTCAACAGTACCACATTTAGTAATCTTTTTCATCTGCTGAAGACCACTAAAGGTAAAATGTTGTTGTACAGACTTAAATGAAAACACAGCAATTGCCTATTTTCCTGCCTGGAAATGTTTATGATGCATTTGTTCTTCCGTTTGCATAGTTTGCATATTTACTCAACTTTTTCAGGGAGTGAAATGTGTAATAAATGTTCTCTGGAATATTGATTTAATGACATTTAAATGCAATGCATTATGATTTGTAATATAACTCTTCAGAAATTAGTCATCTGTATAAATAAACAGCGATGGGATATTAAACTGCATCACCAAGAATTAGCATATTGGTCATTAATCTGCTTCCCTTCGACAAGCACTACATGAAAAGATACTTTCTCAACTTTCCGATCTTTGTGGAAATCTTTGTTAATTTGGTCACCACAATGCATTACACTTACTTCTAATGTAATCTGCATTTATTTATTTATGAAAGTCAATAAAGATTCTAGTAAAAATATACTTAATTAAGCACTTGCTAAATAGTTAAAACCAGTGCCAAGCAACCATCTCTCTGTGTGTGAAACACACAAAATCACTTCACACATTGTAGACTACAGATTTTAAATAAAAATTTTCTAGTAGTTTTAAAAATAAACTCAAAGAAACAATACAGAGATGAGGAACAGCTATACAAATGGTTTCTTACTAACTATGGGATTTGTATTTTAAACCAACAACTTAGTGGATAATTTAATAATTTTGTTTTATTTAATAATCCAGGATTATAAATCTCTTTTACATTATGA